CCCGGCACCGCCTCTCCCCGCCGCGGTATGCGGCTGGTCCAGGTCGTGGCTGCCGGCTCTGGAGCTGGGGCTGCTCAGGTCTCCGGTCAGGAAGCCGGGCATGCCCCGAGGGCGGCCCTGCCCCTGCAACAGGAGAGAAGAACGGCAGAGTGAAACGCGGTCATAAAACTCGGCGCAAAACTTGGAGTTTTTCAGCTCAGATCAACTCTTCGCCAGTTACCTACAGCAGTCTGGATTGGGGATAGGGAAAAAGCAGAAAATTTAGTCCGGTGATTCTCAACCTGTGGTCCACAGACCCCTGGGGGGGCCGCGATGTGGTCACTGGGGGTCCGCGAAGGCTTAAAGCGGGGGTAGGGAATGTCCGGCCCCGAAACATTTGTTCTGGCCCACAGCGAGCACTGTGCCTCTTCCCACAGCCCCCTCGCCTCAGTGCTCCTCACATACCCTAGCCCGCCTTCCCTGACACACTCTTGTGTTGGCTGCTACTGTGGTTGGTGGGACCTTCAACTGGGCGGTTTTCTCTTAATTTTCTTAACCCAATGGCCCTCTTTAGGGCCACAGCGGGGCTGAAGTCTGTTCCTCCAAGTGGTGGCCCTGGATCCATAAATAAAAATATATGGTGACTGAACGCAGGCAAACAAGGGGGCAGGTGAGAACTGTAAAAACCTTTAATCAAATTTTAATGTAAAAACTGGCATCATATTCGGAACCAGCCCGTTAAAATACGATAAAATGGGCCATTTGAGCAAGAAGAGTGTTGATGCTATTATTTTAAATTCATATAGAATCATTGCAATATTATAATAGGAGTGTGTGCATTAGCAGATTAACTTATTTCCTCTTCTCTTCAAATTTGAAGACCCTTAATCAGAAAACAAATATTTGATGCAGTCTAGTGTTTTAAATTAAGTCTTGGTGGTCCTCGGCCACAGATGGTATTGAAAGGGTGTCGGTGGTGAAAGAAAGGTTGGGGATCCCTGATGTAGGAAACCAGTTACAGCAGCTGTAGTTCGACACACCGACACCGTTGGCGACCCGGCACTCCCCGGCCCCATCAGCCATCGCTCCCCGTGCTGCCCGCGCCTTCCCAGGCCACCCCTCGCTCCTCAGTGCGGAGGGAACAGTGCCGTAGTTAGAGCAAGAGTGCTCTCTTGTGGCACAAATGGTAAACAGTCACAAAGAGAGGGAAGATGAGGTCGAAGGGTGTTCCAAGGCCCCGGGAAGCTGCAGAGATCTGTCTCTGGTACAAATGTGCACGGCAGCGCTAACGCAGCTCACCTGTGGTTACAAACTAGCAGGAGTTCTCGCTACTGGTAAATAAACAGTTAATGACATTTCTATCACTGAGCAGTTCAGTCTTTTTATTTAGAATACTACGAATTCTGAATAGGCTCCTCACTACAAAGAGGACATTGAATTACCTGATGTAGAGGAGTTTTTGGTGCAGCAGGGACATGGCAAAATCTGGGACTTGTACAATGCAGGCTTTGAGACGCTCCAGGCCGACCTGGCCTCGGGCCCAGAAGAGCGCTCAGACTTCGGCATGTAGACCCCGCAGCACGAAGACTTCTTATCTACAGGATAAGGAACAGGCTACAACTAGAAGAATTGCAGACTCTGCGAAGAAACTAACAAGAAACGAAACTGCTTAGCAAGGCTTATGACATAGAACATGATCAGTACACTCTCTCCAATCACAAAAGCAGCCTGAGCGCATGGACAGTAGCAATTAACCAATCATAGTAAAGGTTAACCTCATGCACTACTAACTACAGTATAAATATGTGCTGTAAACAATAAACGGTGGAGCATTCACCATAACTCTATGAGTATTGTGTGTTTGACTCTGGACTCCCCGCGCTACCTCAACCTGAGCATGTCCAGAGAAGGGCAACGAAGCTGGTTCAGTGTCTGGAGCACAGGTCGTACAAGGAGCGGCTGAGGGAACTGGGGGGGTTTAGTCTGGAGAAGAGGAGGCTGAGGGGAGACCTCATCGCCCTCTACAGCTACCTGAAAGGGGGGTGCAGAGAGCTGGGCATGAGCCTCTTTAACCAAGTAATAAGCGACAGGACAAGAGGTAACAGCCTCAGGTTGCACCAGGGAAGGTTTAGACTGGATATTAGGAAGCATTTCTTTCCAGAACAGGTTGTTAGGCATTGGAATGGGCTGCCCAGGGAGGTGGTGGAGTCCCCATCCCTGGAGGGGTTTAAGTCGGGTCGACATAGTGCTGAGGGATGTGGTGTAGTTGGGAACTGTCAGTGTTATGTTAATGGTTGGACTGGATGATCTTCAAGGTCCTTTCCAACCTCGATGATTCTGTGATTCTGTCAATACTTTCCCTTTTGCAAAGTACTGATTTAAGTGTATTAAAATCCCGCATTTTCTACTCCATGTCCTTTTGGGACTTTGGACTTGGTCACTAGGGCCAACGGAAGCATGGTACGTCTCATGCTTTCGTTTGCGTTTTGCTACCTTGTTCGTTTGCCAGCCTAGAGGATAAACACAGCGAAAGACGTTGACTGTGCTGTTCTCTCTCCTCGCCTGAAAGCTAAATACGCTGCTCTTTTCACTATGCGCTAACGACGTGCCTGTAAAGCTGTTTTCTTCAACAACCAATGCAGCGAGTCCTGTCGTTTTCCCAGCGTAAGTACTGTTGCAGAAAAAGGTGGCTATAGAGGGACTGACTGCACGTGTTTGGGTTAGTTTTTTTCTGTCCCGAGACTGTTCTGTCTCCCTGTGTTATTTCGGTCCCAGTTATTCTTTTTTTTTTTTTTTTTTTTTTTTTTTTTTTTTTTTTTTTTTCTGGGGTGTTCCGTGAGGATTACAGGAAAGTGTTAAGAAATCCCTGCAGTGGTAAAACTGTTGCTGGGAGGCTACCTATAAAAACCGTGGAGGTTGGCTACACGAAATACCATCGGCATGATCCAGTTGCCTGGGTTGCTTTGCTGATGCAGGGGAAGAAAGTGTGCGTGGCTCCCCCTACACTGTCTTGGTATCTGGCAGAAATTTCACTAAGTCAACCTCCATTTTTGTAGCCCGTTACTTAATTTCTTGCTCGTTAGAACATTCTACGCAAATTGTTTCTGCCTGCCTGTAAATCGGTGTCCAGAGGTTGTGCTGAGCCCGAGCCTTACGACAGAAGTGCCTAGGACTGCCCCTCACGGGCAGCTCTGCCCGCACACCGAGCACAGCTGAGGGTACAGTTAAAGCAGGTTCATTAGAATGGAAACAAAAAGCAAGCGGCTCGTCGAAAGGATGGCTGCGCGGCTGCCCAGGACGGGCGAGAGGGGGCGGCCGAGTCCGCGGGAAAGCGAGGGGCAGGCGGGCACGGGCAGGGCAGCGCAGCGCAGCGCAGCATAGTGCTGTCTCGGCCATGGGGTGTGTGACCCGCAGCTAGAGATGGGGACTCAAACCCTCCCCCTTGTTGCTGCCCCTCGGAGGGGACGCACATCTCAGCTGCTCCTGATCCCTGTGGACATTTACTGTGTTAGACTAGCTTTGGTGGGCAAAAGCAGCCAGAGAGGATGTCATGGTGCCCTCTCTGCCACACTCCATTGAAGACTGACCACACTGTGTCATCCTGGGCAGAGTAGGAGTAGCTGGTTTACTCTTCTTTCTCTTTCGCCAACAATAATTGATTTGCCTTTTTGTTAAGTGATATTCTTCCTGGCCTGGATAGACCATGGTCACAAAACTAGCTAGCCCAGCATGTGGCCCACCAGAAGGGGCCAGTCATCATGTGTGACTCCAGCCCCCACTCGCTGCCAGCCTTGTTGACACAGGTAGCCCTACCAGCACCGGGCATTTCCACAGCCTCGGACTTGAAAGTGAAATAGTTAAAGACAGCTCTCTACTCAGACTTTTTGTGGAGGTGTGCTTTCAGCTGTTCCATTTCCAAACCAGGGCGGTGTCTTTGACCTGACTTTCTTGTGACAGAGGAGTCTTCAGAGTATTTAAGAAGCTGAACATAGTTCCAGTTTTCATAATTTAAAGCCAGAAGTCCGGTAGCATCATCTAGTCTGGCCAGTACAGGTCATTAAATAATACCTTGTTTCTCTGAATTGAGCTCTACTTAAAGCCTACTTTTCAAGGGTCGTTTTATCTTGCTTTGAAGACATCAGAAGACAGAGAATCCACTACTTCAATTATTACTTACATGTGTTTCTTATGTTTTGTTAGTATGTACCTAAAAACTAATTTTGAGGGAGTAATTTTCCAGAGTCTAGCTGAAAAGCTTGCTCTATCATATTTTGCAAAATGTTTGCATTCATGCCTTCATATTTTGGACTGGTAGGTTAGCTAGTTTTGTGGCTTCAACACTGGAAATGTTATCTGTCAGTGAATTGCATCTATTGACAAGTATAACCTAAATTAGAAACTACAAATCTCAAACAGTGTTATGTGAACTTTGCCAAGTTTACAGGAGATAAAACTATTTCTGCATGCTTTAATTCACCATAACTTCTGAGAGTTCTACTTTTTTTCCTTTCCTTTTATCTTAATCAGTGCCACAGAGTGACTGAATGAAGACCTGTCATGCTGCTATGAGTTGGCAGCTCTCAATAGCATACTACACAGCAAAATATCAGGCTGAGTACAGCCAGCCAGCTTGGGCAGCTCTGGCCCTGCTTACTAGAAGCCAGATTTAGATTTATAGTTTGTAACACAGATCTCTGTTGTGACAGGATTAACACAGCTCCATGTTCTTTCTCAGGCCTGCACACCCAGAGAATGTGCAGATATTGGTAGCAAGCAATCAGCACAGATGCCATCACAATGATAGGGCTCTATAAGCATCTGAAGAAGATGAGCTAATCTAGCTTTACCTTGCTTCAGGCTGCACAGATTGCTAAACTGTGTCTATTTTTATAGTAGTCAAGGCCATAGAAAAGACAGGGAAAGCATAATCTTAAACAAGTTGGGGAAAAAAAATCTTCCCTCATAATTGCAAACAAACATTTTTTCTCTCACTTGCATCACTTGGTTTAGATTTCAAATTAGATTGGTAATTAAAGCCACGAGTACTTTTTAAGAATCTAAAACCAAAAGAGATGTTTGCTATGAGATTAGCAGGTAAGGTTACTAACCATACAGTAACACAAAAATGGGATGTATGATCCTCTTTGAGATTTCAAAGACAACTATATTAGTTTTAAAAAAAAGATTTTTGACTGAAGTTGTGTCCATAGGGTCCTGAGGTTTCCAGTGACTGGGTATGTAAACTGAGGTGGGTTAGTTCTGCTGAAGATGATAAAATGACCTGTGCATTCTTCCTGACTAATCCCTGAGACAGCTAGCTCATTTCACATGCTGTTTATATCATTATATAATTCTCCCAGATTTTAAAATACTAAAGTTTCTATTGTACCTAGTAGTGGAGAAAACTTGTTCCCCCTTCAGTTTAGAAACATTTGCTATCTCTAACTTTAGAGATATTGACTATCTCACTTTCATCGGATAGTACAAAGAGTATTTGACAGGTAGTCTGCCTCTTTTGTTTGGTGTTCTTGGTAGATGCCAGAGACTAGATAGAGACATTAGCTTTTCTGTGCCTTTTAATTTTTTTTTTTTTTTTTTAAGGGGGAAAGGGGGGGATTAGTCTAATTCAGACCAAGCTTTATGGGGTGAGTCATCCTACTGGAGTCAGTGATGTGACTTGTGTAAACAGCAGCTTTCGGTATAAATAAGGATTAAGAGACTGGGTTTCTTTTAGGGAATTACTTGGAAATGAACTGCAGCCAACTTTAAACTGGATTTGAAGCTGGTATAAAAGAGATGAGATGCATTCAGTGGAAGTTACCTAAGGAGATGGAATTATCAATACAACATTTTAAAATCAGAGTTAAATGACACAATGCTGTAAATAAACTGCTGCAAGCAATGTCTGATTCCTAATGCCACTAGCTAACATGACTGTTCGTCATGTTTTTATTTTTAATGGGGAGTTAAACATTATTTCACTTTAACCTTTTAGCTCTAAAACTAGAGAAACTAGGGAGAAGTATGGTCTTAAAAAATATTTCATGTTGCAGTTTGACAAGCATTACAGTTTTGAGGCTAATGGTAAAGATTTTCAGCAGATTCTCATATTTACAAAAAAGAAAAAAGATTAATGAGATGTGCATAAGAAGAAACAACAGGGTATAGTAATTCTGCTTGTAATGAATATCCTTTGTGAGTTGGAAGTAAATAAACCTTTGCACATATCTTTGCTGTATCCTTCTCATAGGATTCCTTGGATGTTTCTTCTATCATATTTTTAACACAACTGGGAGCATAATTCAAATCTTGGAAATTGTCAGCTATAAAGGTACCAGCCAAATACTTTATTCTTTGCAAAGATTAATAATGAAGTAACACCTATAAGCTATAAAGGTATGAATTTCTTGTTTATTTTACTCCAAATTCAGTTACTGAATTTTAGAGATTAATTTATGTCAGAGTTCTATATGTTCATCCTAAAACTGTCACTGTGGGTTTTTTTTCTGTTATTAAAGAAGAACAGAAAGGTGAAACAGACTTTTTTATCATGATGGGCTTCAGCCAACATTCCATTAATAAGCCTTTCTAAATAGACAGCCAAAGCTCACCAGTTTGAATTCCAGGTTGCACAGAGAGCTTCAGTTTTGATCACAGTTGTGCATTTTACAGATCTGTATTTGTTTTTAATGATGTCTGCTGGAAGTCAATAGTTCAATCCTATTAAAAAACATTTTGTGAACATTTTGGCTTCCTTTTATTGTGTGAGGTAGCTTTAAAAAATGAAAGTAACGAGAAACATTGTTTTGAAATCTCAGTTTATAAAGGTTGGATTTATGCTGCAAGTATTTGGTGAAATTTTTTTAACTGGATATATGCTACAGGTATTTGACAGGATTTTTTTAAATGTATGTGGGGAAGAAAATATATTATGTCATTTGGGGAGGCTATTTAATAATACTGAACGTACCTTGCAAGGATAAATTACATGTGACCAGACAGCCTTGTTCATATTGTTCATGTTGGAAAAACCTGAGTAGTTTGGACTATTCAAAACTGTGTTACAGATAAGGGGCCATGACTGCATACCAGCATCCTACAGCATTATGGATTCAGTGGTTAAGGCAGGCCAGAGGAGTAAGTCTCCAACAAACCATCAGCATATTGATGCCTTGTTCTGTCCCTTAACCACTTGATGACAGTGCATGTGTATTTTAATACATAGTATTTGGCATCTGATATCACTTCTTGTTTCTCTCTGAAGAATTCCTAACTCTATTTCTGCTTCCTATTTTGAAGACATTGCCATAGGTTGCCAAGTTCTTCACATGCATGGTAGTAAACACGGGAGTGCAGTGTTGGAGAAAAGGAAAGATTTCCAATTAGTTCACTCTTCTTGAGGGTCTATTTGGACCATCTAATGCATCTTTATTGTGTTTCTCAGTTAATGAACAAGTCATGTCAATTGACACAGTTTTCTAGCTCTGAGTAATTTTTTTTCTTACGTGTCTGGAATAGGAATATTGTGATCGAAAAGTTACCTGTACAAAAAAGCCAGAGCAGACCTAGCAAAGAAATGGGGTCACTAGAAGATGGGTGAGACGGGTGGGAAGCACACTTCATTACAACCACCTGGGTGGGGATGCTATTTGGGAGATGAGAAGGAATAGGACTGACAAGGGAGGTTAGAGCAATAGTTCTTTGAACAGGAAGGAGAAGACTCCAGACAACTTGTCTCCAGTCCCAGCAGACTAGCCTTAAGGCCAAATTCACTCATCTTTAGGTGACTAGTTATCATAATCAAGTTCGGCAGACTATGATGTTGCGATTTGTTGGATAGATCTTTAGTATCATGTGGGTGTGTTCGTATTCTTCCAGCACACAAAAAAAAGATATAATCCTTGTCCTAAAACATCTGCAGTTCAGAGATCTGATCCTCTCAGGTGCTAAGAGTCCACAAGTGTTTCTGGAGCCTATCAGTCATAGGGCATCTGCCAGTTACACAAACAGCATGGGTGAGGACAATGACAGAGACTTTCTTACAAAGGAAAGGAGACAAGGAAGCAGACAGCAGGGAGTATGAGGGAAGGGATTACCGTAAATTAATGCAGACTGTGAACCTGACCCTACTGGGCATAAAATACCACTACATTTAAATGAAATTGTACTTATCTCAGTGGTGCTGCAGCAAGTGAGGGCTTGCCAGACTGAACTGCACTCAGGAATCTTCTGGAGGCCCAGACTGGATTTCAGGAGGATATTTTTTACACAATTTTGTTATGTTTCTTGAGGCAGGATATTAGAGAACAGAGGTTTGCTATTGCATGGGTTTCTGTGTGGCTTTTCTACTCGGTGTTCAAAGGAGTCAAGAATATGATAATGTACTCATTGGGCTTACTAAAAGTGGAAGTCCCACTTCAGCCCCTTCCTGCACTGGTGCGGACTCTGCTGTGCTAGTTTTCCCTTCCCTGTGGTCATGAACTCTTTACAGGCTTAGGCTCAGCCTGTCAAAACTCTAGATCAGTATTCTGTGTGGCTGTGTGAGGCAGACCTGTCCCACAGAAGAAAGATTTCCCTCCATCAGAGCAGAAGACATTGTATTGTATGAGGGTGGGAGCACTAATCATTACCTTCCCATAAACTCTGTGCTATCCTATGTCCATCTCTCAAGACTTTTTTTCTGCTGCCCAGAAGAAAAATGGTGTTGAGCACCACTGGTATTCCATTCAATAAAAGACACAAAGTTTGCAAATACTTTGGATTCAGTTCTACCTGGGGTCTTATTGCCTTTAAAAATTAAGGCAGTCTTCTCTTTGAAATGGGTGGCGATTTCTTTCAAGATTGTCACAGGACTCAAAAACTCACCAGTAGGCACAATAATGACACTACAAGTATGAAACAATTTTCAGGTTCAGACAATAGATTACCATTACAACTTAGAAATGAGATCTTGGAGTTTGATAGACAGTTCTGTGAGGATGCAAGCTCAATGATGGTCAAAAAAGCAAAGCAAATGTTCGGAGCTATTAGGAAAGCCATGGAGAAGAAAACACATTATCATCATAATACTTAAAACATCATGATTCCTCTACATCTTAAATTCTGAGAGCCATTCTATTCTTTCTGTCTCAGGAAGGATACAGTAGAACCAGAAAAAGCTCTGAAAACAGCACATTCGACCAGAGACATGGAGCAGTTACCATAGGGTGAGTAATCATAGACCAGCTGCCATGAGTCAGATGAGATTCTTCAGTCTGGAAAAGAGGTGGCTAAAGGTGAAAAGTGATGGGGATTGATGAAAAAATGGGTAGCATGAATCTCTGGAACCAGTGAAGGTTATTCCAAATTCTTGTGTGGGAGGCAGCGAGCACCAAATATTTCTAGCAGGCAGCATGTTAAGAACACATAAAAATACGTATTATTTCATGTAACATGGTTAAGTCCTAGAGAGAGGATGCTTTGGAAGATAAAATTTTACAGACAAAGATTGACACAGATAAAATTTATTCAGAAAAAGATTGAATAAATCACAAAATAGAAGTATATTGTGTTTTCTGTATACTTAGAAACTCTCATCTATGTCAGGAAGTCTTTGGGCTGAAAACAACTGAGGTCATCATCATCATCATTACTGGGTGAAAGTACCAGTATGTTGCTGACTGAACTGGTTATAGATACCTACCTTCCCTAGATGGGTATCCATTTTTGGCCATTGATGAAGAGTTAAATATCAGGCTAGACAGACATTTGGTCTTGGCAAGTATGACCCTTTTTTTACAGTTATCCTAGATAAATTACAACCAATGTCATGAGTTATTTTAAGGGTTAAATATAAGAAAAAAATGTGAGGTTATTAAAAAGTTATGTGAAACTGGCCTAATGCCATTTACACCTTGAAATCTATAGATCTTAATGAGAACTGAGCAAGACTGGTATGTCTCAAAAGTGCTTGGTGTTTTCAGCAGTATTGTTTTCCTCCACCTTCAAGTGTCAGAAATTATATTCATTTCGGGTAGGAAAAAAGGCTAGAGCAATGCTTTGACATGATAAAGGCATTTACTGTGAGGGAAAAGCTCAGTGGTGCGGGTGACAGCTGTCTCAGGAGCCAGTTTTGGACTGGGAAATGAATGCTCTTAGCAAGCAAGGATTATCGTAAATTTTGCCCAAGGTACAAAATGTGCCTCCGTCCTGCTTGCCCTGATGACATATCATGGAAGTGTGCATGTCTGGCCACTGAATTATTTTCAAAACAAGGCAGGCTGCTGTAAATGCTCCTTTCCCTGAAGAGCAGGTGAGAGCACAACCATCACTTGGCTGCTCATGTTCTTTGAAGGTCTCCTGGGCACATCTGACTATGACTGTACTGCATTTAGGGAGAAATCTTTGTGGAAGAGAATCCACATTGTTTTGCTGAATCCCAGATTTTTCAATTTGAACATGAAATCTCTTTGCACTTCTCCAGGGTTGCTTTGTAGCATTTTATTTTCAGTGATCTAAGTGCTGCCTTTTACTGACAAGCCCATAATTAAAGCAGTGTTGACTGGTAAATAATGGGCTGCAAAAGGTGTACCAAAAGATAATTAAAGATGCACTCCAGGGCATGAGCATCCTTTTTATGAGGTGTTAATGTCTGACAACTAACTAGTGAAATTGATCTTGCCTCCTTCAGGATGAAAGTTCTGCTTAAACATCAGTAGCATTGTACTGCCCTAGAAAATGTTTGATGTAAGATTTCTAAAGGGCTGTGCTTGTCCTGAGACACCCCAGGCGGGCGCCTGGTGACAAAACCCATGCTGCACTAGGTAATTCGGGATCCCATTCATGCTAGCATGATTTTGGGGTCGCCTTTGCAACTTGTAACACTGAAGCTGCTCTGGAGGGAGAGAGGAGCTCCTGATGCCCTGATCTGGACAAGGATAGATGCAAGAGCCGTTTTAAAGAGCACTGTGGCTAGTCCTTGTCTAACAACTGTATTGTCTCTCCTAAACGTCCTTTACATGCGTATCTTTCATTTTTGTTGTATTTTCAGCGTATTCCTCATGTGATTTGCATTCCTCTGTAGATGCACTTGTACGATCACTCTGGAATAAAGAAACATTGGCAGAGAACACAGTGGGTTTCCACATCTGAATTCTACTGAAATCTATTGGAAAATTCTGTGGATTTTGATGGGAGCCTGAAGACAATCTATGAACTGAAGAGGAACTGGTTTACTTAAGCATGCTGCTTTGGGTATTCCTGTTTCTTTCTATTCCCCTATTTGTGAAATGAATCAAAAGTACGGGGCAGGGGGGAATACTATTTTCCCGACACAGTTTAGAGAAGAGATGGAGGAGCTCATAAACAGTTGTTTTGATTATGACTGACATACAATAGCATGATGTTGCCAAGGAAACATGGGAAGCAAGGGCTAGTCAGTGTTGTTGCCTGGATTAGTGTATGGTCAAACTGTAGCAGAAATTAGCTCTTACATTAGGCCAAGTCCGTATGTCTCAGCAAAAGAGGGGGAAGATGAGGGGGAGGCAAAGATTGCCATCTTCTTTCCTGGAATCTCACTTAAAAACAAAACTCACAATCTAAGCCTCTATCAATTAGCATTGCAAAGAAAATCTCTGAAAATGAAGAGTGTAAAAAGGCTGCCTGGCAGAGTGCCTGAAACAATAACTGCGGGAAGTGTGAACTGCTCTCTTCATAGCCAGAGGATGTTAACAAAAGCCGGGTCTATTTGACCTAGCTTGTAGTGATGGACAGTCATTATTAGCAAGTAGAGCAAGTCGGTGCAAGTCTCTGCTGACTCCTTATCTCTTCTGCACTGGTTGTGGCTATAAGGTGTATATGTATGTGTTGGAGGGGGTGGCTTCCCTGTCCTTGTGAGATCAATATTGCAGGCTGTCTGCAGGGGTTACCTTTGTGTTGCAGTTATTTCTATGAGATGATGTTTTCTGCCATGAAAATTGGAATCCAGAAAAAAAACCGACAGCATTTGTTCTACCCTTTCCTGTGGCCAGACTGAATGAGTAAGCTCTCTTTGTACCCTACAGACATCCCTTCGTATCCTTGATCCTGTTTATTATGCACCCCATGGACTGTTGCAGAGAGATGGAAAGGTCATATGCAATTCCATACTTTCTTGTGCCAGTTTAAATCTGGGCTCCCTAACTCTCTTTTACCCTCTGCTCCTGTGCATCCCCATTCCATGCTGGTGCTTGAACTAAGCTCACCAAAAACTAACCTGGCCTAATAAAAAGGGATCAGGTTTTTGGAAGGACTAGCGCTGTGAGTTGTCTCGTTTGCTAGTCAAAGGTGCACTGGAAGTGGCATGCACAGGACTGTGTGCAAAGCCATATGAGGGCTTAAAGGCAGGTAGAATTGCACCCTGCATGCTTAGGACAAGAAGGAACAGCTAAATCTGGATGTGCTGTAGAGAAGAATGTTGATAAAACTATGCCACCAAGCTTTACATGTCTGCTTTATTGTGTCTGAGCCTTCATGCACCCCTCCCTACATATGTATCTGAATATTAGAAGTGAACTAAAAGTCAAGGACTAGCAGCACACATTGACTGTACCTGGAACTGCTGAACCACTTGCTACCTGGCTGCTTTACTCCTTTCTCCCACATGAAAATTCTTGCTTAAATACAAACTTTATTGTTTACATGGACAGGAAAAACTCCGAACTATCCTGGAGGAGAAAAGAAATCTTGTGAGATATATCTGTGTTATGACAGTCCAATCTTATTGGAATGCTACAATAGAAGTAAGGGGGTGAGTACCGAGAAATTGCTTCAAGCTGTTGTTACCAGATAATTTGGACTACATGCTGCTGTTACCCCTCTGAAATTCTTACTGCCTTCATATGCGTTTCTGCCTGAAAACATTATTTAGGTGTAGTGGTTTCTGAGGGCATTTACCTTGCCTGATGGACGGAGCTGCTGAAGGAATCCAGTCTCTGGAGTACTAGACTCACAGGGGCTGATTGTCTCCCCTGTCTGGAAGGAAGGACATCAATTTTTGTTCTGAACCACTGTGGTGGTGTGTGTAATGGTAAAAACTTTGTCCAGTACAACTCAGAAGTGGCTTTGTGGATGGTGGACACAATGGTCTCCACAGAGTGCAAGTAGTATGTTACAGCTTGCAGGCTCTGTCCCAGTACCCTTAGCTTCAGAGCAAGCTGGAGTGGGTCCCAGATCTGAAAAATAACTGGGGACACGTTGAGATGAAAAACACATGAAGTAATAATGCCATTGTTCTTGAACACATTCAGTGATAGCCATTAATGGCCTCATTTGACAAATTATTACATTGACTAATTGATTTGCTGCTGTTCTAATCCTGTTTAACATCTAATCCTTTTCAGCATTGCAACTGTTGCTCCCTGTAGTTCCTTATGTCACACTTGGCTCTCTTAAATACTATTTCTGGCCTCTCTTTTGGATTAATATGTTGGTCGTGATTTCACCTTGGGTTGAAAGTACAGACCTTGCTTGTTCTGTACATGACTTGGATGAGCAGAGCTGTCTGGAGGAAAAAAAAAAAGCAGTCCTAGGAAAGGAAAAGCTTGTCTTCCAGGTGCTGGCAGAGTGTGCTGGGGGAGGCTTTGTCCTTTACTGTGAATGGTGGGGTTTCATGCAATGTCTAGTAAAGCCACCAGCGTTTACTTCAGTTAAGTTTCTGAGAAATGTCCCATGGATGGGAATAGGTATGGGGTAAATACACAATGAAGACATGGACTTGTCACCCAGGTGCAATAAGAGCTGGGATGGTTTCCCTTGGGGAGAAGGGTGGCGTGGAGGCCTCCCCGCATCCGGGGGAGCCCCAGGTTTGCAGCAGAGCCCTCAGACTGCAGTGCGGAGAGAAGGGGAGCCTTCTCAGAGGACTGAGCCAAAGGCAAAAGATATCGTCATTAAATTATCCGCTCTCCATTTGAATTAAAGAAAGGTGGATGGGTTTGTGGCAGCAGCAGGGGCTTCTCTGGGAGACACTTTGGCTCCTTCGATGGGGCGAGACCTCATTATGTGTATTTTGGTGATGAGATGACAATGAAGGTGTGGAAGACAGCTCTGAGTCACCCTCGGGGGGTCGGGCCGGGTGGGTGGGGGT